TTTCCAGACTGGTACAAAAATCCATACATGAAAAAAGCTCAATCTGGGAACAACAGCTGGGGAGTGTTCTCCCTGTTGGAGCAAGACACTCTGCTTCTTATCTAAATACTATATGTAGTACCTGGTGTGGGTTTTATTAGTCAGGATACTTAAAAAGGCCCCTCGAAGGCTAGGAGAGTTTTTTGTTCACAAGATAAATAAAGGAATATTTAAAATAGTGGAGCTTTAATCTGTTAGGCGGTGCTGGTGTTTGTCAGAAGCCCGAGCATGGCCATGATGTCCTGAGCCTGTGGGCAGCTGGCAGGAGACCTCCATCTTCCACTCCTGTCCCTTTCAGCCCTGAGGACCAGGCAGTCCCTTTCTGCTGGGCAGCAGGGAGCACCTCCAACATCTGGGCTTCGGTATTAGCAGCTTCTACCAGTTTATTTTCAGCCAGTTCAGCTGGCTGAAAAATACACCATCAAGAGATGAATGGAGTGGTTTGCACTCCTGTTGACCTTCGACTGTCTTGTCGTGGCCCCATGGAAACATCTTGTGCTTCTTTTTAACGGAACTGTTTTTCTGTTGGAAATAGTTACAGCTAGGAGAGTAAGCATTTTTGTCCACAATCCTTGTGTTTGGTTTTCCCCCACCCCAAAAAATAGTGTGTTTTTTCAGCTGTATACCAAAATTTTCTGTATCTTCCAGTATCTGTTGTGTAAATCAGCCTAGCTCTGCAGTATTGCCTAGACCAGTCTTCGGTTCCAGCCAGTGTCTTCAGATGCTGTTGCTGGTTTCTTGTTTTCTCTTTAGTCTAGCAGTATTTTTGACAGGAATACAGGTAGTCTTCCACTTCTGCTCTAAACTTGTCTGAAGAAAATCAGAAGCAGTTTCAAGATGGATTGGGTAATTGGAGAATCTAGCCAAGGCACTGTTTAGAGACACAAAATTCAGCAAGATGTGAAGCCTATCAGGTGTCCATAAAAGATCCCTGTTCTTCCTGGAGAAGCCAGAAGGCTGTGGAACCATTTCTTGTTCAGAGCACAGTGCCTCTTCTACATCGTTTTGCCTCATAGTAAGCGCTTACTCTCATCCATAGCTTCAAAACAGATGTTTATGTCTTTGGCTTTTACAAGCCGTCTCCAATGGCAGTCTCACAGCTGACCATGTTGCCAAGTATCCCTAAAAGCAGGCATTTAATATTGATTTGTACTTCCGTAATCTCTCCATCCTTGCCCGATAGCCCATAAAAGCCCACTAAAATAACAGGTTAGTGTATTAATTTCAGGCAGGGGGATGTCTTTCTGATTTCCTGTAAGACTTCTGAGAAGTCTTGGTGTTTTTTTGCAAGCTGGTTTTATTGCAAATCATCATTTCCTTTCTTTGCACAATCAGGTACCAGCTCCCTATGGCTTATTGAGCAGGAGTTTTTGTTTCCCTCATCCATTTGGCTGAGAGTTGGAGCAACCAGTGCTCCAAGCCCTGCTGGTGGTACTGGGAAAGGAGTGGACAAATGAGGGCTAGAAGAAAATAGTGAGAGGAAGCAAGAACCTCATTAGAAGGTAGGAAACTAGTTATGATCAGTGGAAGACATGACATACTTCTGCCAGTAGTAAATGTGTGTCAGGTGGGTAGATAAATACTCTTGTCCTCAGCAGCCGGTGGGCAAAGCCCTGTCTTCCTCCTGTTTTGGTGTCCTCAGCCCCTGCCATCCCCTGGGAGCACTGGCCCTCAGGTGGCACTGCCAAGCTCTGCTGTGCTTTCTGCTGAGGACACGTGTGAGCTCTGCACGCAGGACAGTGCTGCATTCTCTCCCAGCTCCAGGAGCTGGTTTGCTGTTTATAGGTTTGGGGGTGTTTTTTTTCCTTTTCGTTTTCTTTCCTTTTATTTAATCGCTTGCTACCCACTGCACCAGAATCTTTACGTGTGTGTATTGGGGCTGGGTGATATCTTTTCTGTTCTGGGTGCAGTTTCTGGGATCTGTATGGTTTTAGGTTGAAGATGGTCCAGTCCACAGCAGAGCTTATCCTTTTGCTGTTGGTGCTGCCCAGGGTATAGCTTTCAGAGCTCTTGTTCAGAGGTCAGAAGGCTTTGTCCTAACCTGTGTCTGTATGAAAATAGCCAGAGAACTTTCTCCTGGAAGATCTGATGCAGATTAAGTTTGAGGCCCACAAGGAACTGTTAAAAAAGAGACTTTCCAACTTTTTCCATAGGTTTGGCCATGTCAGTGACTACATGCAGTAGAGTGATCAGGCTGAGAGGTATAAGACCTGAAGCTAAGTCAGACCTGTCCATCCCTATCTTAAGTGGTGTCTTCAGGCTGTTGCCTCACCTTGTGTTTTCCTTCCCTGGCATCTCCCACGTTCTGGGGGAGTCTGTGGTAGCTGCTGCAGTGTCTTGGTAGCTCCAGGTCATTATGGCTCATGGGTTATTTGAGGAGTGGTTCCTCTTGATTCCAGTTACTTTTTGCTGTTTCTTCCTTGTTTCACTGATGAACGCTCGTTCTTAGCTGGTGAGTTGGGACTGCTGGCCTGCAGCAGACTCCGTGGTGCACTCCAGCTAGACAAAGCCATCTTTCCCAGCCTGGGCTTACCCCAGCTCAGCATTGTGCTGCATGCTGCTCCTGATAGTTTTCCCCTCCTCTTGAATTTGCCCGTCTTCAGCACTCCTGTATGAGACCTTAAAATCTTGCTTCATGTCACTGCCTTCACTCCCTGAAGCAGTGTTTGTTGGGGAGTCCGTGCTGGCTTCTCAAGGTGTCCTCTGGCTCCCGTGTCTGCCTGGATGCTCTGTCCTATAGACCAACCCACTGTCTGTCCTTTGGGCCTTTCTTCCTGGAGAGATTGTGTTTGGGAAAAGGAGGGATCTTTGGGTTCAGTGTTGTTCTGGGGTGCTGTTAAAATCACCTCCTCCATGCAACATATATTTCACATGCTTTCCAGAGCTGGAGAAATAACAGCAGAGAAGGAAATGTCAGAAGTGGGAGGAGATGATTTCAGAGGAAGCTGTAGAGTTTGAGGAGCATGCCATGGAGATGTCTGTGAGAGGATTGTGCAGATGCAAGAGGAATGCATCTGGGGAGACTCCCAGATGACCAGCAAAGAGTTTTTTTGGAGACAGATATGGACTTGACAGAGAAGGGAGATGCAAAAGCACCTTTTAGTATTTCTCCTCACCAAAGAGGTGAACTCCTCAGAAGTGGGTAGCATCTCAGCGAGAGACTAAGCTAATCTGTATAGGCTCCACCATGGTGGCTTTGGCATCCATCTTCTGTTGTGGTCAGAGCAATGGCAGTGTCATTTCATGCACTGCTGGTGGTGTGCCACCTCGAAGGAGACATTCAATCTGCTTAACCTCGGATATCTCGGCAGGGGGTCTGAGATATGGTGTAGTTATAACTTTTTATGGTGTAGATGCAAGACAAAGAAATAAACTCATCAGACTTTTTTCAGTGACCTGGCTGAACTTCTGTGAAACAGGCTTGAACCAGTGACCTAGAGGTGAAGTGTTTTAGTTTCATGACTTGTCCATTGAGCCATCTTCTTGCTCCTCTCCTTGAGAGTACAAAATCCCACCTGTGCAGTGACACTGCAGGGTGTGGATGTTACGGGTTGTGGGTGTGCTGGTCAAGTCTCTTGCCAGTTATCCCAAGGACACTAGAATCCACTGGGAGGGAAAAGAGTGATGTGAACATGACAATTACTGGTCTAGGCTAAACTAGAGCTCCTAGAACATAAAGGATGAGTGGTGAAATACCAAAATATCAGGATACACCAAAGGTAAGGAAAATTATAGTGTAAATACTGTCCTCATTTTGTGTGGGTCATCAGGAAATAGTCTTTTAGGAACATAATCATGCAAATGGTGCTATATGAACAACCAAACTTGAAAGTACCTTCATATGCTTGGCCTTGTTCTTGCTTATGTGTGGCCTTGATGCCACCAGCAGTTGCTCACAGGGCAATAGCGTTGGTGGGAGTGGGTGCTGATATCTTGCAGATTTTTCCCACAACCTTGAATAATTTTTCTTTCTTAGTTAGCTAAGTAGTTTTTCTCCACAAGGAGGGTCCAGGCCACCTCAGTTGCTTTGGACTTCTTGGCAAAAACTTTGTGTTTTTTTTTTTTTAAATGATTTTTCAACATGAGTCACAACTTCAGGATCACGGTTTCCTAACCTGTGATTCAGGGAATGCATTAATTAGTACGAGATATTAAATATGTCTGTAAAATCACATGGAAAAACTGGATGGTCTTCTCCATCCTTCATTTAACAAGCCTCATGTTCGATCATGTACCATTTTCAATTTTCAAACTTGCATTGTTCTTTCAAGCCCAAATTAGACTTTTCTTTATATATAAAACATAGTGTGTGTATGCATATTTACACATAGTATATATTTTATATTCACATATACAAAAATTATCTTTTCTGTTGTGTTAATGTTCCCAAGGCCAGTACTAGATAAAGAATTGTTACTTTTATGAGAAGAGCTCACAGGACTTGCCCACCATTAGCATTACTAGAGCAATGTTTTCCCTCGATTACATGATGGTCTCTTTTCACCGTACCACCCATGGAGACATAGTGGAAGGAGCCTTTTTGTCTTCTGTGCTCATCTTTAGAAATTTTAAATATAACATACCTTGGTTAAATTTCAGAACAGCCTTCAAGCCCCATTCAACATGGCTAAAAACTGTGTGGGATTTTGTTTTGAAATGAAAGCTTGAATATGTTGTTTTGCTGTAGTTTTCAAGGAAATTTCTGCCCTTTAATTTCATTCTGACATTTCATCTGTAAAATGTTGATGCTCATGAAAGGACTGGGGATTTTATAGTCTGAATTAAATGCCTTTAAGGGATTTTGGTTTTATTTCTTATTTGAGTCTCTAGAGTGTGTTTGAGCATGCCTTGGGGATTGCCTGCTCAGCCTCGGGTTTGGGGTCCCTGGCACGTATACCCAGAAGTGAGGACACAGTAACGGCATGTAAGTGATAAAGTCTCTGCCACTCTTCCTCTTTCAGAGAATTCGGTCGACAGTGGATGAAAAAGAACAGAAGCAGCTTCTGATGGACCTTGATGTAGTAATGCGAAGCAGTGACTGCCCGTATATTGTTCAGTTTTATGGCGCGCTCTTCAGAGAGGTGGGCACTCCAAACTTGCTTCATTCACAGCAATGTTTGGTTTTTACCTTTTTATTTTTTTATTTTGCAGTTTCCAACTTGCAGTAAGGAAAAGAAAGTTAATTGCTGTTAGTTTTTTTTTAGTTCTTGGCTTTTAATCAAGGGTATTTAACCAGGAGACCCAGGTGTCTGAGTATGCTGAGCATGTACGTGCTATTCCCATTCATTGTTTTGTCTCTCTGGGTATTTCAGCTTCTCCTTCTTTCCTGCTTTTCTTCTTTTTTGATGCACAACACTTGGACACGAGTGTGGTTTATGGCAGTGGCTGTGAGGTGCAACCACTTGGAGGATCTGTGTCCCTGTAATGAAGGTGGCTGCTGTGATAGTGCTCATGGCTCCCCGTGAGGTTAGCTGATGTATGGACGTATCCACATGCTGTCAGAGGCTCCTTGAGTGGTTTGTACCTGCAGATATGTAAGAAAGCAAGGGCAGCCAGGCTGGGTCAAACCCAAACTCCTAATGGGGTGTTCTGTCCCTGGCGATGGCCCACAGCATCTCCTTGCAGAAGGGTGTGTGATACTTCGCCATAGCCTTTGGTTATGTGTAGCTGTGTGTCTTCTGAGCTAGATGTCTTTGTGCTCAGTGACTCTTACTGCATTTCTTTTCCATGAAAATGTTCGGTTTCCCCTTGAATACATGTACATTTTTTGCATCCATGGTGCTCCCTTAGAGGCACTTCATTTGGTTGTCCACACCTCATTTGAAGGCACATCACCTTGATTTATTTTGAATTTTAATCTTGCGGCTTTGAGTGGTGCCCCTTGTGTTTCCCCTGGTTTTTGTGTTTGAAGAGGCAGTAACCTGTTGATCTTTATCTATCCTCTACAGGCCATTGAGTATTTTATGGAGAGTTGCCATACTCCCACTCCACCATGTCTTACCCAGCCTGACAAGTGCCAGCCTGTGTCATACAGGGAATCCTCTCCAGACCTTGGATTGTCTTTCTTGCTGTTCTCTGCATCTTTTCCAGTTCTACTCTGGCCTTTTGGGACAGAGACCAAAATTGCATGGCTGTTCTTGAGAGGAGCAATATCTGCAATAGCTAGCAAGGCTGTAATTTTGCTTGGCCTTTTTATGCACATAGATAGTATGTGCTGTGGTTATTCAGTGTGATGCTTCCAAGTGAAGAACAGAATTAGAGCACTGAAAATTGTGCCAGCTGACCACTGTTAATCATGGCATCCTTGAGCTGTTTGTGGCCCAGTATGTAATGTTAATCACTAAATGTTTGTGACTGTTTTAGCATCTGCTTTTTGTAATTTAAGGTACATATTATACTTCAGGGCCACAGAAGATATTCTTCTATCTCCTTGTGCCTGCCCAGGTGCTCTCACTGCTATCTAGCTTCAAATGACCAGTAGAAACAACTGGGAAGCTTGGGCTTCTCTGTGGAGCCTAGACAGTCTTATGCCATGGTTGGAGGCCAGTCTTCAGACTGAGCTGATTCTTCTCAGTGCAGGCACAAGAAGATGAATACAGCACTGGTGAGCAGTGCTGGGTGACGTTTGGTCCATTTGCAAGAACAAGAGTTCTGGAGAAGGTGAATGTCAAAACCTGATTACTTCATCCCCTTCCTCCACAGAGAAGCAGCTCTTGCAGCTCTGCTGCAGATGTGGATTATTCCTCCTAACGTAGTTGCTCTGGTGTTGAAGCTGGCACAATATAGGGGGATAGACACGTAGCTTTGCTTGTTTTCCACTACTTAGCACAAATCCAGTACATCCACTCAGGGGAAGAAGGAAAATGAAGGCTTACTGGTTGCTTGTCTTCTTTGCACATTACCTGGCATAGCAGCCTGTTCAGAGTCTTGCAGGGCTTCACAGGGGAACTATTAGAGATTGGAAGGTCAATGTTGTAGTGAAAGCTCTAAACTGGGACTGAATATTCAATTCCTGCTTCTAGAGAGTTTGCCACTGCAATTTTGCCAGGTGACTCCTCTGGCTTTATATCTCAGTCTCTAAAATAAGGATGATAATCCTTCCTTTTCCCATGCTCTGCTGCTTCTTGTCTGTTTAAACACAAAGCCATTTTGGACCAGGAGACATTGTCCATGTTCACACAGAACAAGCTCCTACCAAGTGTGGAGCCTCAGCCTTGGCTGAAAACTCCCAGCATTGCTGAACTACAAATGCTGAGGCTGTCAGCTGGTGTGAAGAGAAGTCTCTGGGCAAGGCAGTATCTTGCCAGATGCTGATGAGCAACATGTTCAGAGCTGTGCAAGCCTGTCACCTCTCTGCAGCTCCAGGCACATCCCAGGATGTAAGTATAAATACCTAAGCAGTATAAAAACCTACCTCGATCAGCACCCAAATGTCAGCCTGGCTTCTGCTGCACCCTTTGTCTTCTCCAAAACTCCTGTCCTTCTGCAGCCAGGCAGGGCTCTGTCTGGTACAGGTGTTCAGTAAGGTCACCTTGAGTTGTATCTTGTTGGTCCCTGGAGTCCCCTTTTCCCCCACCCTCAGCATCAGTGCTTTTGCTTCTGAGATGAAAGCAACTTTCCCTTCTCCTTGGTCCCTTACTGCCAAGGGGATGTTCCAAGTCAGGTACCTCAGAGGTACACAGGGTGAGCTGATATGCTTGGATAACGTTTTCTGCCTTGTCACATTAATTAGATGTTCTAATATTAATTACATCTTTTAAAGCTAAGAAACTATTACAGCAGAGAAGCACAGGAAGGGAACCAAAGAATTTCACCAGTATGTTTGAACATGGCTCACCCTCCCACTGTGCTTAGCAGATCTGTTCCCAAATTACTGTGAGTGATCCAGGTCACTGCTGCAGTATCCCCATGAGTATAGGAGCTCACAGGGCACTGCTGAAGACTGAACCTCTCTCAGGAACTCCTTCAGCATAGCACGTGTGTAAACAAACCTCTTTGTTCCAGCATTTCAAGTTGAAAAGTAAGGAAATAAGCTCCAAAAGGCAGATCCCCTTGGGACCATCTGCTCTGAGCCAGGATTCAGCTTCTCCAGCAATGGATAGAGCTACAAATGGGAAGTCTTCTTCTGCCTGATTGTAAAAGGTCAAAGATTTCAAGTTGAGCCTCTTTAGAGGAGCTTAAATGTTGAGTGAGTGACTCTCACAATCATATGATTGCCAAGAAGATTACAGCAGCTTCAGGAACAGCAGCAGGGCAGCTGGGCTGTTCTGAAAGGCAGGTAGCATTTCCAGAAGAGAAGCAGAGCCAGGCTCTTGAATCCTGACAGGTTGGGAAGTGGGAGTACTAAGCCAAAGTGGAGAAAACCGTTCACAGTCATATTTTAAAGGCAGACAAGTATCCCAACATGCAGGCAGGAAAGAAACTGTAAACCAGCAAGTTACTGTGGCAGCCTCTACAAGTATGAAAGTTTGCTTTGGAAAGGCAAAAGATAAGACACGAATATTTCTCCCAAGTTTTATTCTGTCTCAATTGTTCAGCAAGCATTTTCTGATAGGAAAAGTCTTCTCTGGGACTCTGGATCCTGCTTGTCCCTCATCTGGCAGCATCTTAACACAGGTCATTTGCTTCTTGTTCTTCAGTCATACAGGACGTCCTCCTGTTATTGTGTTTTGTGTGTTTATAATGTAATCAGTAATGATGCAGAAACTACAGGTTGATTGCTGGTGTAAGACTTTGCTTGAGTTTATCGGTCCCCATTAGATGAGGTGAAATCATCTGTTTAATGAAACAAGAACAAAGCTGGAAAAGTAGAAGTTGACATTTCAACCTTTGTGTGGAATCAGGGGCTTCACTGCTCTGCTGACAGAGTTGCAGATGGTGCAGTCACGTCCTCCATGGGACAGCACTCTGCTTGGTCCTGCTCTCACTGATGCTGCTGTGACCTGCACATCACCGTGTTGCACCTCCCCATGATGTCCCAATACCCTTCATTCTTCTAGCTCAGCTCTTGAGGACACTACTCTCTTACTTGGTTCAATTAACAGGCAGAAAGAAATTGACCTTTTTTTTTTAATCACAGAAAGAATCCCTGAGCACTGTGCCAGTGTCACACCACCTTCATTGTAAAAAAAATATTTGGTTTTTACGTCCAAGCTAAATCTGCCCTATATCAGTTCAGAACCATTGCCCCTTGTCCTGTCACTACAGGCTCTGGTAAAAAGTCTGTCACCATGTTTCTTATAAGCTGCCTTTAAGCAAGAAGGTCTCCCCAGAGCCTTCTCTTCTTCAGGCTGAGCAACTCCAGCTCCCTTAGCCTTTCCTCATAAGATGGGTATTCCAATCCTCAGATCATTTTTGTGGACCTGCTCCAACAGGTACATGTCTTTCTTGTACTGGGGACCTAGAGCTGGATGCAGTGCTGCAGGTGGGGTTTCACCGGCACAGAGTTGGTGCGTCCATCTATCTGCTGGCCACACTTCTTTTGATGCAGTCCAGAATGTGTTTGGCCTTCTGGGCCACAAGTGCACGTTACCAGGTCATGTCTAGCTCTTCATCCACCCATACCCCTGAGTCCTCTACGGGGCTGATCTCAATCCCTTCATCCCCCCAGTCCTTATTTATACTGTTGAGTGACCTGATCCAGGTGCAGGATCTTGCACTTGGCCATGCTGAACTTTATGTGGTTTTTCACTGGCCCCATAAAGCCAGATGGTTTCTCCACACTGCACCAGTGAGAGCTCTCACTCCTGCAGACGCACACAGAGCTTTCCACATCAGTCATCAGAGGTATTGTATGGGAGGGGGTCTGGTTACTCATATCCATTTGTTACCCCTCCAAGAAGGACTTGCTAGGTGGGAGGAGAAAAAAAGGATGATTGCTGGAGTTTCTGGAAAGATTTCACTTGGGTCACTTTTCTTGTAGTGAGAAGAGAGGAGCGTTGGGCTGAGCCATAGGACTGCACTGGGCAACCCTGAGACTTCTGCCTTGAGTGTTACTGGTTAGGGGTTTTTTAAAGGTCTGAAAAAAAAAACAAAGACAAAAATAACCCCCATGAAAACAAACAGTCTTACTTTCTTGCAT